TATGATTCTAGAAGTTAACATCAAGTGATTGAAATAGTGAGTGCAAAAATGTGATGTTTCCCGATGCAAGTAATGTGCACATATAGATCCTTCTACTCTAGCTTTATTTTTCACCGATCTCTTTGAATCACCCATGAACCTTTCAAACGGATACATCCACCTATATTGAACAGGTCCACCAAGATAAGCTTCATATGCAAGATGCACAGGTAAATGTTCCATGGAGTCAAAGAAACCAGGCGGAAATACTTGTTCCAACTTACAAAGAATGAGTGCAATGTTTTGGTCCAACTTAATGATGTCTTCCACTTTTAAAGTTGATGCACAAATATCTCTAAAAAATTGACTAATTTCAGTTAGTGGGTCAAGAACATGTTTGGGTAGCGATCCAAATGCAATTGGTAGCAATTGTTCCATAAAAATGTGACAATCATGACTTTTCATACCATGTAATTTTCCAGTGTTAGGGTCAGCACACCTTTCTAAATTTGATGAATACCCATCGGGCATTCTCAATTCTTTTAACCATCGACAAACCGCTTTAGCTTCTTGGGAAGTCAGACTGAAACAAGCCTTGGGTTTTAATAATTTTCCATTCGGTTGAGGCTTCAACTCCAACTCTCTTCGATTACACCAAATTCCCATGTCTTGTCTGGCCTTCTCATTATCTTTTGTTTTTCCTGTCACATCCATCACTGTGTTAAATACATTATCAAAAAAATTCTTCTCAATATGCATAACATCAAGATTATGGCACAACAAATTATCTTTCCAATACGGAAGATCCCAAAATATACTTCTTTTTGTCCAATTGTGGGTGACGTCGTATCCTTCAATTCGGCATGCTTTGCCAGTATCTGTAAATTTTGGTAGTTCACATACTTGGTTCCATATAACCCCTGGTGGAAATCGAGGCGGAGGCAAATCTTTCTCTCGTACATCTTTTTTAAAATTTGTCTTGTTTCTTCTATATGGATGATTTGCTGGTAGGAATCTGCGGTGACAGTCAAACCATGAGCTTTTCCCACCTTTATCCAACGTAAATGCTTTGGTGTATCCCATGCAATACGGACAACCCATTTTTCCATGCGTACCCCAACCAGACAACATGCCATATGCTGGAAAGTCATTAACGGTCCACATCAAGGCAACTCGTAATGTGAAGTTCTGTTTACGGGATATATCATAAGTCCATTCTCCAATCCACATCTTCTTCAAATCATGAATTAAAGGTTGTAAGTACACATCAATTCCGGCTTTTGGACTGTGCGGGCCTGGAATAACACACGTCAAAAACATGTATGGTTTTGTCATGCACATCTCAGGAGGGAGGTTGTAAGGTGTTACAATAACTGGCCAACAAGAATACGCACTTCCTGACGCTTGCACGTATGGGGCAAATCCATCAGAGCATAATCCAAGCCTGACATTTCTAGGTTCTGCAGTAAAATCTGGATGTGTCCGATTAAAGTGCTTCCATGCCTCACCATCAGATGGATGTCGCATAGTGCCAGAACTTGTTTGGTTTGTATGATGCCATGTCATTTGACTTGCACTGTGCATTGAAGCAAACATTCTTTTTAACCTTGGTATTATAAGAAGATAAAACATGGATTTTACTGCTACACGCTTTTGCTTGCTGTTAACGGCTCTACTGCAAACTTGATATCTTGGACTATTACAAAACTTACACTCCTCTAACGATCCATCTTGAGTACCAAACTCATTGTCATAAAACAACATGCAACCGTTAATGCAACAGTCAATCTTTCTTACTTTTAAACCCAACTTCGACACCCACTTCTTTGCATCATAATAACTTGTAGGCAAGTTGTCTTTCGTAGTGGTGGAGTCCAACATCATTTTTGCAAAATGTTCCAGACATTGATCAGAAACATTCCAATTTGACTTGGCGGCCAATAATCTCACACACATTGATAGCTTTGAGTCTGACGACCCCTCAAACAACGGCGTATTCATCTCGTTCAATAATTGATAAAATCTTTGCGCTTCCTCATTCGACAACTCTTCCCCGTCAAAATCTCCAGGTTCATCATATGTCACGTTCACACCAAAAGCATCCTCAACCATGTCACCGATCAAATTAAAGTTCTCCTCATACTCCATAACCGGTCGACTACTTGAAGCATGCGTGTTGCTAGTCTCTGGTATATTAACCGGTAGTTCTTCACCATTATACGTCCAAACCCAATAATTTTCAATGAATCCCCTTCTATGCAGATGACATGTTACTTCCTCTGGGTCACTAATTATTGGTCTACATTCACATTTAAGACAGGGACACCTAACCCCTCCTTCGCTTCGACAACAATCCTGAGCAAACGCCCACTTAATAAACCCATCAACTCCTACTATAAAATTGGGTTTAAGTCCACTTCTTCCTGGATATGTTCTATCGTACATCCAACTACGATAATACCGATAATATTCCATACTGCACATTTATACAATCATTGTCTTTTTCATTAGAAATATTAATCAACTTAATAATATTATTCTTAAACTATTTAATACTATTCTTAAAAATATAAATTTTGCTTTTTTATATATATACTAACATATAAATAAATATTCAAATGTAAAATATATAATTTTTTATTATATAACAATAATATCAAAAAACAATAATATAACATATTTACTTTTTATTATATATACAACAATAATATTAGAAAACAAATAATGTAACATATATACTTTTTATTATATATATAACAATAATATTAAAATAATAATATAATATATATACTCTTTTTTTAATTATGTTTTTTATAAATTCTTATTTTAATATATAATTTTTTTTTTCATATCTTTAACATATAAATAAAAAAATAAAACTATTATAATAAATATAATATACATTTTTGTTTTTAAATATGTTATTAAATTTATGTGTTAATATATATATATATATATATATATATATATATATATATATATATATATATATATATATATATATATATATATATATATATATATATATATATATATATATATATATATATATATATATATATATATATATATATATATATATATATATATATATATATATATAAAATAAGACTTTTAATTTTATGTTTTCTAAAAAATTTTATTTTAATATATATTCAAATTTTTTTTATTTTATACGTATATACTAACAAATTTTTTTTATATGTCTATATAACATGCAATAATATTAATAAATATTAACCTATATATATTAACAATAATATTTCTGTTTAATAATATATTAATATATAAAACATTCTAATTTTCATTTTATTTTAAACATTAACCTATAATACTAATTAACCTAAAACTAAAATTAAATAAAATATTTTTTTAATTCACATAAACAAAATACATATACTACTAATCTATATAATACATATAAAATATTTAAAAAAAAGTATAAATACCTCTATATAATTTCTTCACTTAATTTGCTTCTTCTTGTGTAGCTCTTGGTGTTCTTCTTCAAATTTCTCTACAGGTTAAACAAAATACTCTTTTTAATATTTATTACCAGTATAATAAATAATGAACAAATGAAATAAAAATTTATCAAAATATGAATACCTTATTCTTCTTCAACAATTTGGGATGGAGGAAATTTGATTTGGGAATTTGGGTTTGAGAGGAAGAAGAAAGGAAGAAGAAAGGAAGAGGAAAGGAAGAAGAAAGGAAGAGGAAACACCAGATGCTGTAACGGATGGGAATTTTGTGGAGATGTAAACATCAAGTAGCGACGTGACTGTCACGTCGCAACATTGCCACGTGATACTCACGTCGCTACACACTCAACAGAAATATAATTCACTTTCCCACTCTGCCACCCTGTCATCAATCAACTTTAATTTTCCCCCTTTAATGTAGCGACGTGGCTATCACGTCACTACCAAATTTCAAATTTCCCCCTTCTGTAGCGACGTGTAAGACACGTCGCTGATTCTTTTTTCAAACAACCACCTCTGACTTGCGCTATATATCATTAAAATATGTTTGCGACGTGGTTATCACGTCGCAACTGCATTTATTACTCACGTGATAACCACGTCGCTAATATATGTCGTTGGGGACCATCTTTCTTGTAGTGTGTGTTTTGGGATTTTCTATCAAAGATCAAGAAATCAGGAGCTTGTGGGATACACAGATAGCGACTATGCCAAATGTATCAATGACAGGAAAAACACCTCGGGCTATGCCTTTATACTTAACGATGCAGCGGTTACATGGTCATCAAGGAAACAACCTATAGTCACACTCAACACAACCGAAGCAGAATTTGTAGTTGCGTCAGCATATGCCTGCCAACTGATTTGGATGAAGAGGGTGTTGTCCAAGTTTGACTACAATGGAAGCAAAAATCCAGTGATTTTTTGCGATAACAGTTCTACCATCAAGCTCTCAAAGAACCCGATTATACATGGGAAGAGCAAACATATTGATTTGCACTTTCATTTCCTCTGTGATTTAATAAATGAAGGAAAGGTTCAATTGAATTATTGCGGCACTAAACAACAAATAGCTGATATTTTCACTAAACCGCTCAAGCTTGAAGTCTTTCAAGAGTCCAAGAAGAAGCTTGGTGTATGTGACATCTCAAAGATAAACTAGTCAGTCTAGTTTAGGGAGGAGAATTGTTATGTTATTATTAATATTATTATTAATTGTTATTTGCTATATATAAGTGACTTAATCTCTATTGATCGTGAGAGGATCATAGTTATTAGTTTTAATTATACCTAAATTATAGAGAGTTAAATATGGCATAGTGACCCTGATTCTTAAGAAACATTCATTTGAGTTTTCTTTTTAAAAGCTATTTATATAGCACTGTTCCATTATAATAAACAAGTCAGTTCTTACTAACAAACAATAGATCACAAAGACAAGCTCACGAACCACATAATTCATCACCTGCAAATTTAATCACGAACAATCAAACAGCAACAACAAAAGTGACACAGATTTATTATTGTTCTAACAATATGCAGGTACAAACGAAAGCAAGAGAAGAAGAAGAGCGAGTGGAACCGATCGGAAGCCACCACCAAGTCAACCTCTGTCACCGTGAACCGCAGCCCCGTGCGCCTCCTGCTGCTCCAGATTCATCTCCAGCCGACGACGCCGAACCGACCGCCCTACTGCTTCCCGACGCAGATCACCACAACAACGCGAAACACCGCCGCAATCGACCTGCAGCCTCCACAACAGCCATCCGTAATTCACCTGTGCGTGAACCACAGCGGACAACACCGCTCCACCATCACAACCGCGCTGGAGATAACTTTTGACACCGACACCGACACCGCATCTCAATCGCAACCCACGACCGGAGACAACGCAAGAGATATTTCTATCATCGGTAAGTTATTTCTCTTTTTCTTCATGAGATTCAGAGAGAAGAATAAGCAGCAGGGAGAAAGAGGAGAAACCGTAAGAGAAGGAAGAAGAACGTTGTTCTCTCTGTTTCTATGATGATGGAGTATATGTGTAAGCGTTTTTGTTTTTTCTATTTTCCTTTTGCCACGTGTCAAGATATTGTTGGATAAGAAAAAAGAAATGGCATGTGTGGACTTGGTTTGTATATATTCCTCTATTATTTTAACAATGACCACATGAAAGCCCTAACTTGTACGATATTCATTAGGGATGGACAAATTATTTCAATTCAGTTCAAGCCGATCTATCCAAAAGGTCCGATAGCATAGGGGTCGGATCAATTAGATCATTAGATAATCAATTTGCAAAAAAATGGGTTAATATGGGTTACACTGGTCGATTTATGATGCTTCTTTTAAATTCATCAAAATCTATAACCGATCAGGCCAATCACTTGTTATTTTGGTTGCTTATTATTTAATTAACCTTAGCTATCAATTGTCTTTCCGTCTTCAGTTTTGTATAACGTTTTTCTCTCTTCTGCTTCTATATTGTGATTTTGTTTTTCTCTCTCACTTTATTTTTCATCTTTGTTTTCTTCTTCTTCTCAGGCCTCTTTTCCTCTCTCACAATTGGATATAAAACTAATTAAAAGGTAAACGTTTTTATTATCATTTTAACTTTCCTTTTGTCTGTTATCTTCCTCTCATTTATCTTAACAATTTTTTGTTAGATCTATATTTTTGAGTGGTACTTTTTTTAGGTTAATGTTCTAACTTCTTTTAACTTTTTTTAGGTTATTTCTAACATTTTTAATGTTGTATTAGGTTGAAACTTTGTATTTGTCTTGTTTGAAAAGAATGATAGTTGAATAATGAGCTGGGAGGAACCAATAATCTTCTGTTTTTGATTTATATTTTTTCAGTTTTTTTAAATTTTTGGATGTATGTATTCTGAATATTTTTTATTTGTATTCAAGAATATTTTGGATGATTTTTTAATTATTTTTAATTAATATTTTATAATAAAAAATATTTATATTTATCTTCTTAACTAATCATACGGAATAAAAAAGAATTTTAGTTTGGTTTAAAACAGACGATTTGAAACAATGAGAAATTAACGAAATTAAAAAATAACTCATAAAAGTTTACTGAGATTAGTTTACTGAGATTTGAGACATGAATTGGAAAAAATAAAACTGATTTAGAGAAGACAAATAATAGTCAAGATTTTGAAGGCTTTGAAGATTTTATTATTAGAAGAAAAAAAACACTCGTTGAACAATAATTAAAAATGACTATTTTTGAAAAACCATTCAAATCGAACCGTTAAACTGCCAAACCGTAAAAACTGTGAATTGATCAAACCGAACCATGAATTAGACGAAAATGGACTTGTATTTTTCAACCATTGGTTAGGCCGATTTGGGGTTTTGGGCCCGAAAATCAAACCAGCCCAACCGATGTCCACCCCTAATATTCACGTTTCTTTTTCCTCATTTTTACATGTTTATTAGTTTTGAGAATTTTCTGACTTTGTTCTTTCACTTAGGGACTCATTTATCTAACAAGGTTTGTTTGTTTTATTTGTTTTCTTTATTATAATTTAGGTCAACTTTAATTAAAATAAAATATATATACCAGAAACAATACAAAATACAAAACACTAATATTTCCCATATCTTATTTAACTATCTCATTTTCTTTAATTAGTCAATTTTCTTATCTTTATAGTTTTTTAAAGATATAATAAAAGTATAAAATCTAAAATATATCCTTGTTACCTTTTTGTGAAATATATATTAATTTGTAATTTCCCTATTCAATACACTTGTACATAAATCATAAACATATAGATAAATCAAACTTTTTGCGAATCAATTTAACTCCTAATTTTTTTAGTAGATAAAAGAATTTCACATTCTCGAGTAATTAGTAGGTCGGTTTAATGCCTTACTAATTAATTATCCAAATCAAAAATATTAAAAATCACCAACAAATCAAATGAATTTCTTCGCCTCGCACAATATAATGCCAATAAAGATCAACTTTTTATAAAAGTCAATTTTTTCGTCTAGCGCGATTAAATTCTAATGAAGATCAACTCTTCTTCAAACTTCAATCAATCAACACAAATAAAAATAGCTAACCAATTCAAAAACCATTTTTACTAACCTAATAAAAATTCAAGATCATTTTCAAAAAAAAAGATTAAATAGTGTTGTTTTCAAATTAAGTTTTAATTGCGTCTACGATCACTCAACTTGCAAACCCAGACAAAGTTCAAAGGAGCATTTCAAAATCAATTATATACAATCTTATAAAAAAATTAACCAAACTAATACAAACTATGAAATAGACTCTGATTTCTTCACAAGAGGATACGTAGGCACGCAGTTAAAACTAATCTTTTCAGATACATGGTAATAACATAAGTAAAAAATTCCCATTAAGTACTAAACCTGAAAAGGATCCCCTTGAGTACAAGAGAGGTAAAGGGTGCCTAACACATTCTCTTTATCTAATTAACTCACCAATCCAATAATCTCTAAACAACTAGGATTTTTCCGTTCATTTTCCGTCTTTAGGACAAAAAGTAGTGGTGACGACTCTCCTTATTTTTTTATCGGTTACGAAAATATGATAAAAGAAATAAATTTTTTGTATCTTTGTTGGCCATAAATGCACCGACTAAGTACTCTTTGATTGGATTTGGAGTTTGATCGATTAACTGTATGTTGATACAGTTGGGAGATAAAAAAGAGAATCTTTCTGTCAATTGACGCGGGCGCATCAATTTGTCATACAAGAACCTTAAATAAAAACATAATTAACATTAGACTATTCATTGAAGTGAGTAAATAAATTGTTCAATTAATTAAATAAAGTTGATCAGAGTATCTGATGTATGAATTGATAACACCGATGCTGAATTTATAATGATGAAAAATATGATTCATATCCTCTTTAGCAATTGTTTCTGTATAAGAAAAATCAAAAATATCTTCCTCAATAGGTATATTACGAATACCACCTTCCACATCATCTGGTGTTCCTACATATGTTTCAAGACACGACCTAAATCGAGAAATAAATGTTTTTTAGGCTCGGTCTTTGCAAGATCCTATTTTTTTGGACAAGGTGCTAAATTCGAGCTTCTTATTTCGGTTGACTTGTTGCAACTCTTGAGCATGAATCTAAATATCATATATGTTAGGTAATGTATAAGATCATGAAGCTTTTGATTTTGGAGGATAGAATTAACATTTTCTATGCATATATATCAATGTACCTCTTTTTTTTTATGCAACTGATTCAGTGTGCCGCACAATACCCTTATCTTTTGATTTGGATTTTGTAGGAGTCTAACATTACCATGTAAATAAAATGTACATAAATGTAAGAATAAATTACATGGCTCGTAAAAAAATTGAATACTCAAAGGTTCATAATGGTTTTCAATATATAATATCCTGCAAAGACAATTTCTTTGTGCTTCTGTGACTTTATTTATGCTTAATATACCTTATTTCGCGTGCAACATCATGACCACTTGTACCATATTAATATGATATATGAACATGCACTCAAAACCAGCTTGCATATGCACCTCATGGAATCTCTCTACTCTTTTTAGATACAATGTTAGCATAATTTTATGAACCTGTCCTTAAACACGCCAACTTTACAAATTTTTCCTTTTCTAAAGTACATTGAAACAAAACTATAGCTTGGGACCTTTTTTGTTCTCTTTGTTGTGTTAGCCACTTAATTGGGTTTGAAGTTTAATAAACTTAGTTATCTCATATATTATTTATTCCTAACTTATATATTTTATTAACAAATTGTTAATATTATTATATTTAACATATAAGTGTTAGCTCCTAAATTCGACACCTACAACAAATTGGTCTTATGGGCCAAAATAGATTAAACAAATCTAAGCTGGAAATACTTCGACAGATTGGAAAAATACTTAAAGAAATTTCTAAGTTAAAATGAATCTTCAACCAGAAGGATCTTACATCCTTCGACTGAAAGGATTCCAGGGCCTTCGACCGGAAGGAAACCTCGTATCAGCAACAAATGATTTTGTATCTGAAGAAAGGATGGAAAAGCAGTTCGCTTAACAGTTGAGGAAAGCAATGTGGCATGAAGATAGAGGTTGAAGCACATGCAGAAGACATTTGTCCTCATCCTAGAGCAAGGCAACTCCTCAACGGTTACCTAGTTTTAGTATAAATATAGGAAGTTTATGTAGATTTCTGTGTGTTCAACTGATCGTACAAGTTATTCAATACTATTCAAGTACCCTCTGCGTTAGAAAGAATACTGAAAATGTACGTTTGAAACACCACATTTTATAATCAAAGTCTTTTACTTTTCTCTTTACATTTATTGCCTTTTTATCTTGTTTGCACTTTACTTGCACATTTTCTCAGATTCCTGCGCTTAAACTTTTCCCAACTCCTTTTTCTATTTATTTTCTGCACTCAAACTCGTCCCAAACCTCAACCTTTCTCAGTAGAACGTGTGTTCTTCATTTACATTAGCATTTATGCCCAAACAACGTAAAAAATTAGCATATATCTTAGGATCAAACTGATCGATCCTGCGAGTAACCAAAAATTTACCCTTTTTGGAAGATCAGCGGTTGTTTACCCAAAAAACACGGTGAACAAATTGGCACACCTGGTGGGACCTTGCTAATTTTTATATTTTGTTCTTTGTTTTGCTTGTTTATATCAACATAAATGCTTTTCATAATTTCCTTTCTTTTACGAAGTCTTGTATGCTATTAAGAAGTGGTAAATTAACCATCAACGAGTGTACAACTAGAAGGAGAAATAGTGAAAGCAATATGGCTAATCAGCCAAATAATGGAGAAATACCTCCACCAATTACTACGG